TCTTCTGTGCCAGACGTTTTTGTGAGATATGGGGATAGATCAGTGATCAAATAGACATGATCCCTCATCTAATAGAGTTTATATTTGGTAAAGGAGACACAGATAATAGACAATAAAATGTTGGCAAGCACTTATCACTGAGGAAAATAAAACATCTGGGGTGCTCACAGAAGGCCTCTCCCAGAGGGTGAAATTTCAGCTGACTTGAATGCCAGTGGTAACCAGTTCCGTGAAGATCAGAGCAAAGGGCATTTTAAGCACGGGGAATAGCTAGTGGGAAGACCTAGAGTGAGAACAGGCATTGGAGATTTGTATGTAAGGAATAGAAAGACCACTGTGTATAAGGAGTAGAGAGAAGGCTGGAATGTAGTGAGGGGAGAGTAGTACAAGAGCTTGGAGAGGAAATAAGTGGCCTGATCACAGTGATACAGTTTTTATTTTGATGACAGAAGAGTAGGAATTCTCTGCATTGTCCTTCCCCCAAGTGTCTCCTTGCGAGTGAGATATGTTTGGCAGGGTCTTAACCTGCTGCCATAGACCAGAGTTTGCACTTGCCCTGCACATTTGATGTAGCCCTGTTCCTGCACACTGTCCCAAGGGGGCCTGCCACTTGTTTGGTCTTATGATCCCGTTTTTCGGCAGCATCAATTAGCGAACCTCAAAATTCTTCCCATTGCAGAAATTATAACTGCTTCTGAGCTCTTGACTTTTGCACTTCCTTTGCCAGTGTGAAGGTTGTTCCTTATGACTTACGACATTCTGTGGTTATCTTATAATTCCTGGGGGATTTTTCTTTGTTTCTTCTCCCCTGGAAAGTGAGCTCCATGAGAGCAGAAACCCACCTACTCTGTCACGTTGCCTGCTCTGTCCCCAGCATCTTGAATTGTGCCTGGTATATAGTAGATGCTCGATGGATATTTGAATGAGGGGAGGGAATACATAGGAGAGATACCCATAGGTTTTTAAAATAATTATTGGTGTTAAAAAAAATTATTGGTGTTACCCAGTTCTTTTCATATGGAATATATGGGATGCCCTCCCTTTTAGCCTTTTCCATGGCTGGCTCTTGTTGGCATTTAAGTGTTAGTTGATATGTCCCATTTTCGTAAAGGTGTTTTCTGACTACTGATTAAAGAATTTACCTCTACCACCCCTATAAACCTTTGCCCTAGTTGCTTAAAGAAAATCATACTAACTTATTTTTAGAGTAGTTATCACAGTCTGAAATCACCTTATTTATTCCATGAGTGGAAGCCTCTTAAGGGCAGAAAGTCTGTCTATAATCTTTTAATTTTCTGTCTCTGGTGCCTAGCATGGCACCCCAGCTCTTAGTAGATATTCAGTAAGTATTTGTTGAGTAAATGGATTTGGCTTAAGAGCTTCAGGGCATTATTTAGTCAAATCCAAATTCTGTAGTCAAATCATCAGTACACTGTTTCTGGTAAACTCTTAAAGCAACAAACATATTTTCAGGGGAAGTTAAACATTGGTTGTAAACTTGAATGGCATAGGCCAAGAAAAGCCAGCAGTCAACTCTTTTAAACCTGTAGACTTATTCTTTGTTCTCATTGCTAATTTCTGCAGGAATGAATGGGTGCTAGTTGAAGAGTCCTCCTCAGACGGGAGGGTGAGAATGAAAGCACAAGTTTAAATGGGGAGTTAGCCAAGTACAAAGTGTGGACAGTGACCTGATGGTGGGCTTTAGGCTGATTTTTATTTCCTTATCGATGCACAGAATTGCCAAAGTCTTTGCAATCTATATGTATTCATATTTTTTCTAATTATAAAAGTATTCTAAAAAAAATGATACTAAAGATATTAGGGAACATTAGACATAGAACTTTTAAAGCTGATACTGAGCCTGTGAATAATGTAAAAGTGTCACATTTTATAACGGAGGCACCAGTTGGAGAGTTTTTTTCCCCAGCTCACATTGCTAACTGGGGGCACAGTTGGGGGCTGGAACCCACCTCACTTAACTCTCCTGCAGAACTTCTTCCGTCTCCTGTAGATGCCAGGCCCATAGCAAAGGTAGCGTGCGTCAGCTGAGCCCATGCAGCTCTGTTTTTGAACCATCTCCTCAGGTGATTGGGATGCACCCAGAGCCCTAGCATTGCATCAGACTGCACTGCCTTTCAGACCCGGAGTCTGGCCAACAGTCAAAGGCACTAAATGTTGATAGAACAGGTAATCTGAATCCACTTTTTCTCATGAAAATGCAGTCGGTTGCAAGCCACCCTTAGGCCAGCAGTTCTTGCGTTTGAGAGTTGTAACTGTACTGTTTCCTAGGCATGTGATTGACAATGATATACCACAGTACTTGACATAAAAATCTGATTAAATAACATTAAAATTTTTTTGATGAGGAAGTGTCAGACAGCACTAAGCCAACCAACACGTTAGCTTAATATTTCATTTGTATGCCATAAAAATTATTGTTCAGCATTTTATAATGAAAAGACATATTCTCTTCTGTTTTTTATTTGAATTTTTTGCCTTTCCTTTTCACGTCTCTGTTACACGTCCTGGTTTCTCTCATAGTTAACTAATTAGGATTAATAACCTTTTAGTACTTCAAAATGTTTTACTTAGCCCACCTTTTCCAAGAATTGTCAGAGAGAGTGAAGAGCTAACATTTATTTTATGGGGTGCTGGGCTAAGCATTTTACATATATTGATTTGTTTAGTTGTCACAGGAATGTTATGAAATAGGTCAGTGTTTTTCAAACCTTTCTTTCGTCTGCAACCCATGTTAATGCATTTTACATCATGATCCAATATCAGATATCTTTATTTGTAACAAAAGTTGCATCAATTAATATTAACACTGCAATATATTCTCTTTTCTTATTTTTTTTCATGTTGGTTTCAATCCACTAAACAATTCAAACAAGCCACCTGTAACACCCCATTTCCTTTTCCAGTGGACCCAGTGACATTTCAGTGTCCAATTCGTAGCAGGTTGCAGCTCTCATGAGAAATACTGAGGTGTGGCATTGTCTCCATTTTACAGATGAGAAGGCTGGCAGGTTAAGTAAGCTGCCTGAGTGTCACAGCCGGTGAGTGGCAGAGCTGGGATTCGAACCAGGAGCCTGGGCTCTTACTCAGTTTATTAAACCTGAATTATACAGCAATACAATTTCCAGATAAATTGGATCTCAAGGTCATCTCCATCTCGCCTCTGTGATAGGGAGAAAATGTTTATAATGCAAGTACTACGCCTCAACTGTGTCCTCCACCTGCCAAGGAGAAGTCGATTTGCTCAGCATAAGACAGGGAGAAAGACAGGAGACCCTGAAGATTTGGGAATAGGGAACAGGATCTTCTGGATCTTAGAAGGGACTTTCAGAACTTAGGGGTGTGGCAGAAATGTCTAACCGGGGTTTTTTATGAAGTAATTATGTATGACTTTGAAGAGAAACTCTCTTCTATCTCTCTTCAGAATTCTCTGTAGAATTACCCTCTCACTGATGTTTGAACTGTGGATTTGATTTTGGAGATTTAAGCCCAACCTCAAGGCTGAAACCAGGTTAGAACAGAGGCCACCTGCTAGGGCCAGCCACATCTGGGTAACACTTTAGTGAAGAAGTGCTGTACATTCAGTAAACATTTACTAATAGTCTGCTGTGTTCAGGGCACTGTTCTGGGTACAAGGGACACAGAGATGGTTAAGATCTACCCAGCAAGTTTTCTGTGAATATTGACTAGATTAAAAGAAAAGCATCTCATAGACCTCTGCTATGGAAAGAAGCTTGAGTCATTATGCATCTAAATTTTGTAGCCTGGGAAGTTAATTGATATTCTCGTAGATTTAAAGCTCCATGCGGGCAGATTTGTGTGTGTGTGTCTTATCCACCACTGTATCCCAGTTGCCCAGCACAATGCCCGGCACATTGTGGACATCATCATTTGCTTATTGATTATTGACTAGTAGCCAAGGAAATTTGGTAGTATTTAAGTACTCAGGTCAGGAAGTCACCTTATTGCCATCTGCCTGTAGAAGTGTAAATAGTTAATATGGAGAAACTGCCTTATCAAGTGATATCCATGAGCATAGTATACTGTGTTTACTGAAATCAGTTTCCTTTGCTCTGATTTGCTTCTGAAAATCTTGACCAGCCACCTGTAACACCCCATTTCCTTTTCCACTGGACCGAGTGACATTTCATTGTCCACTTCTTTAGCCCTAGGGAAGTAAAAGGAGGAAAAGTCTGTCTCGTCCTTCCATTCTTCCAAACCGGTAGACATCCGCCAAGCAGCTGTGATTTGAAAGAATCCCTTTGCCTACCCTGGCGGGGACCAGTCCCTCCCTGCCTGTTGGAGGAGTCTGGGCTGGCATGTCAGCTCACACTCACCGAGGCCCCAAGTGCAGGCATGTAATATTGTGTAGCAGGAGGAAGTAGAGAGAGGCTGGGAGGCAATAAGTAATCCAAGCAGAAAATGTATTTAAGACTAGAGGTTACTCTTTCACAGCCAAGGAGTGGCAGGGGGATTGGGGCCAGGGAGATGAGTCATGTGTATTTGGAGATAGGAGGCAGGAGAGAGACTACTATGTGAGGAACTACTTGTTTGCCTAATTTCACCTCAGAATGTAGAGTGAAGAAGTGGTCAAAAGGAGGAAATATGTGTAAGTAAACATTGTGTATGGCATTACTTACTGGGTAGCAATATAAACAATTATGTTATGTGGACCATTTTATCAGAAATTTGCAATCTACACTCTGCATGAGTAGTAATTATTTTGCATTTGTAATGTGAGGCCTGATAATTAATGCACTTGCTGTGTCTGTAGTCCTTATTTCTTTTAATTTGTTTTCCTTTTTAAAGGATGTTTTCTTTGCTGTACAGAAGTCTTAGTAAGAGAGAAGTTACAGTCTCCCCCTGCTGGATGTGACCAGTAGAACCTGAAAATTTAGGTTACTTGGCAGTGTATTTTTTTGTGTAGCTACACGAGGACTCATTTACCTGAACTTTTGACTTTCAAATTTTCTTTCTCACAGCCTCACTAAGCAGCCTTTTGATTACACCTTTCCCGTCTCCAAGTTCCTCTACGTCTTCTTCCAGCAGTTATCAGCGCCGCTGGCTTCGAAGTCAGACAACAAGCTTGGAAAATGGCATCATTCCAAGGAGGTAAGTTGCAAGTTTCCTCTTGCTGAGAAAGGTGCTAGTGTGGGCAGCTTGATGAGGCTGGCAGGGCACAGTACTCACCTGTCCTCAGTGGAAAAAGAGAGCTGAAACTTTTTGATTCGCTTCAGCTTAGTTTGAAAGTTTACAAGTGAGAAGTTTTATGGAAAGAATAAATAAAAACTAAAAAAAAAAAATCTCCAAGTTTGGAAGACACTGGGAAATATCTGGGTAGTTGTGCCATGTATGAGTTAGATTTGATGTTAATTTAAAATGAGTATGCTTTCTCTTTTAATTGGCTTCCTTCCAGGTGTTGCTCTTGTAAGTTAGAAGGGTGGCCTCAATCTCTTCCTTGTCTTATGGTGAAACCAATGTGGTCTTTGAAAATATATGAACTCAATGACTGTGACATACTCTCTTTGTAAATCGTAAATTCTTAAGCTAAAGAGAGATAAATCTGATTATGAATAGAGATAGCATCGATGTATTTTCTGCCTTCATTTCAGTTGGTTTTTAGATCTAAAGTTTAGTTGTGTGCAAAATATACATTTTTGGCTTATTATGATGTTACAGCAGTAGATTCCAACCTCTTCTTCTTACAACCCCAAAACTTAAAAGGTAATTAAGATAGGTTGTACCTATAAAAATTCACATGTGAATTGGTTGATTTAGTAAATTGACTAGTAATCACCATGTGTAGGGATCTGTGAAGATGCAAAGATGACTCGGCTACACACCTGCATTTAAGTAGTTTACGGACTAATGGAAAAGAGGATAGGCGTTTAAATAATCGTATAAAGATGTTAAATGATAAATGCTATAGAGAGGCGTAAAGTGCTTTAAGACTCAGAGGAGGGAGAGAACACTTGCTGGTGGTCTTGGGGAGAATTGGGGAGCCCTTCATGAAGAGATGGTGCTGAAAGGACAAGCTGAGAAACGAGGGGTCAAGACGTGTGTATAGCACGTCAGGCTGCTTGCCTGTCTTCTGTTGCTCTCACCATCCTAGGGAGCTGGACAAAAAGAAAAAATTACAGCTTCTTCATCACTCACTGAGAAACCGCTTCTTGGTTGGTAGACTTCGAGCGGAATGGTTAAGAGCTTGGAATTTGGTATGGGGACAAGTCCCAGCTCTGCCGCTCACTAGATGAATGCGAAAACAAGTTAACCTGGATTTTAAGTGTTGCTTCCTCATCTGCGATACAATAATTGTACTGGAACCAGCCTCACAGCATTGTTTGGGGGAGTTAAATGAGATACAGCAAGTCAAGTCAGGCCAGGACGAGATATGGTAAATAGAATATTGGCCAATATGACTTATTTACTTTTATTATTACCATTATTATCATTACCATTACTGCAACTGTCAGGAGAGGGCATCCCACCATCCTCAGTGTCATTATGACAGCTTCTGTGAAGAGATCAATGGGTCTTAGAAGGCTTCTTTCACATCTTCTCTTTACTAAAAATGCTTTTCCATCCCTTCAGGTTTAAATCCAAAGTTGAATAGCATTCCCCAACCAACTCCTCCGAATTCTTCAAAAACTTTAATTTGAATTGAAACTTGGTGACTAGGGAATCTCTAGTGGACTTACACCTAAACTAAGTGCCTTGGGCTCAAAAATGAAAAGGCAGAGTCCCTTGTTCAAAAAGCAGGAGAAAGTGCTGTTAAAGGTACTAAAATGTAAAGCTTTTCCTTTGAAAATATTTTACTTATAAAATGTAATAGAAATAATAGTGACACATGAATAATAACATAAACTTAAATTGCAAAAAATGATATCTTGATGTCAGAATTTTATATAACATAATAGTAATTTTAATGCAGTATCTTGAGTCATTGTAAGATTTTTCTGGCTCGTGTTTCTGCAAATTCATTTGTTTAGGTCATCAAAATTTATACATCAATATAATTGAAAGTAGTGTTAGTTGCTCCTGGCAAATGCAAGGTGGCAAATAATTTTTGATGAGTTTTTTTTTATTTTGAGAAAGATCTTTCTTCTGATACAGCTTTTACTGGAGCTCTATACATTGAGATAAATTTTTGATAAACTTTCAAAATGTAAATTTTGGTACATCTAGATCAGATGATTCTTGTGGAACAGTTTTTCTAAAAAAATTTAATCCTTCACACAAATCCATTTTGTGTAAGTCTGAATTTAATTTTAAATGTAAATTTATACAAGGCTATTTTAATGTTTCCTCTGACATTTCCTGTAACTTATTGAGGCCTTACAAGAAAGAGAAAGTATCTTCATGAGTTGTATATAATTCAAAATGCCTGTTTATGCATTCTGTCAGTGTATCTTCAATTATATGGAAAAATTAATTTTAAAATGGGATTCCTTATTAATAATTTCTTCGTCTGAAGCCTCATGTGAAAATAGTGGGGTTGTTTCTGTTCAATGCAACCATCTTTATATTTCATTTCTATTTCTATGCCTGTGGATATTTGCTTTGCAGTGTTGCTGCAGTTTTCAAAACCAGAGATTATAAACTCTTTGAAGAATTCCAACTCCCTGATATGCTTTATTGCAGTGTCCACTGTAGGCTCTTACTTTGTGATGATTTACTGCCCTAGAGCTCAGGTTGGAGAGTTAAATATTTGTACAGACTCCATAGGAATGGTCTCTGATGATGGACGGACAAGCTGGCCTCCCACCGTGGGTCATGGCCCCGCCCAAGTCCTTCCTCTCTCCTGTGGCCGTGACAGCTGCTGCTTCTGCTGCTGTTTCTGCTGCTGCTGCTGCTGCTGTCACAACCACCAAGCTGGGCCCAGGTCCCAGCCTTGCCGCCGTGGGGCCACATGGCACCCTGGATTGCCCAGACATGTGGGGGTATGCCTGACCCCCAGTCCAGTTGTTCATTGTCTGGGTTGCATGCCCTTGGACCTGAGCCCACCGTATGCTCTGCTGCCTGATGTCTTTACTGCTCACATACGTGCTTCATTGTCCCATCAGACTTCACTTACAGAACACAAGTTCAAAGATAAAATTATTAAGAATTCAAGGTAGCAAACACAGAACGTTAAACCAAACCTGGGCCCTTCTGAGAGCAGTGCTCTGCATGAGCGGGGTTTCATGCCGTGAAGCTGGCCCTGGATTCAGTCCTGTGGAACGTGGAGAATGTCAGTGCAGCAGGCATTTTGAGTGATCACTGTGCCTGTGAAGATCCCTTCATTTAAAGGATAGCGCAGTGGATCTCTCCCTTTTGGCAGATGTGTGAGTGGGAAAATTAGTTTCTTATGCTAGACAGGAGAACAATGGGTATCAAAAATATGATTGCCTCTGGCCTTGAGAGAAAAGTCACAGTAATCAAAAACTTTCTTCCTGAGAGAGTTAAAGATAGTCAGGGAGGATATTTACAATCCTTAACAGTTGGTTCCACACTGACGCCAAGGCTGCAAGGCCCCTGCTGTGCCAGGTCGTAAACTTTGGTTACTGGGTGGGGAGTCAGGCTTGGGCATTTACCAGTTGATACAGAACTACTGCCTATAGGAGAGAAGTTGCAGAGATTTCATCCCTTAGAGAGGTTATGGAAACCCTAAAGGCACAAGTGATAATGTCCCAGAAAGGCTTTTGATTTGAATTATTAAACTGAACCAACCATACAGTGGGATGGTTCTTTGACCTACAAAAGTGGCAATTTCATATGTTCCGATGTAATACATAAATTCAGCATAAGTTCAAAGCTGACATAAACCATTCAACTAAGCAGTCCTAATATCAATTATAGATCTTTGAGATGTACTTACATAATCATAGTTTTTGCTTTATTTATGATCGTGAAGTACTCATAATGTATGTAAATACTTATTCATAAATGTTAACAAAATTCTATTTGATTTTTTATAAGGAGAATAATTAAGTGGGTAGCGGTGGTCCTTCCTTAACTTGAAGGCCTGTCAGCTGATCTGATTACTCCCAGCTGTTTTCCCTCAGTGCTCCAGCCGACGTGATGTATCTGATGGCATGAACAATAGCAGATGGATCAGACGTGGGGGCAGAGTCCATGGTTGTTTCCAGTGTCCAAGAAATGAGCCTAGACTAGCGGACAGAAACCTGGGTTCTAACTCCAGCTTTGTCACTAAGAAGCTTTCTGTTCCTGAAGCAAGTCGATTAATCACTCTGCCTCCACTTTTGGAAAATGGTCTGTGTACCTTACCTGTTGGCTTGAGGGTAAAAATATGATGAAGTATTTGGGTACATACTTAAATTTTTTAAAACATCCTTTCATCGTGGAATAATTTTTAAAATATCGTTACCATACCACATGACCTGATTTATTCCAGGTTGCGTGATTGATCCAAGACTACAGAATGAAGCTCAGTTGCTTTAGAATTCACTAGAAAGATATAATGAAGTAAGAGCTAACCATGCTATTATAGCTGTGGAAGTTTTTCAGAAATTCAGTAGGTGGCACTCTCTGCTGTGTTAAAGTGGAGTTGGTTATTGTTTGTAGGGTAGAGATTAAGATAATGCATAAATCTGCATAGGGTTCAGGGTTTTTCTGCAATTTGATTATTGAAGACGACGTTGGCCAAAGAGGAATGGACTGATATGGTCATTTTACTTTTGAAAAAGAAGAGAAATCGGAGATAATAGACGAAGAAGAAAGGGTTGCAAGAAAGTATTGGTATAATATAAGCTCAGAAGAATGGAAATAAACTGGTGCAGGAAAACGAAGTTATAGTACGAGTGCTTTGGAAAAAAAGAGGGAGCAATGTATGAAATTAAAAAAAATTCTAAGAGATCCTCAAGAATTTTCTTCTGACGAGCAGATGACTAAGATCTAGGAATTCCTCAGAGAAAACAGTTGATGGTTTATTATAATGCACAGCATTTACAATAGCATGTGGAGATCACATCCTTCCGGTGGCGTGTCTGTTAGTGAGCTCCTCTTACTGATTTTTCAACCCCATCTACATCTCCAGGATCTTGCTTAAAGTCAAAAGAAAAATAACATATCCTTCTGAAGTTAGAATAAGATGTCTGTCTCCTTTCCTTTAAAAATAAAATAGCTTTCCTGACCATAAAACTTTTGATATATGTATGTTTTTAAAAAAATGTGGATATGTTTGAAATCACGGGAACATTACAGACTGTGAGTAGAGCACTAAATAAGACCAAGAGTAGGAGGCTGCCTTGAATTCTGCTAAGCATAAGTAATTGTTATGTTGCAATTTGTAGTAAAGAAAATGGAGGAAGCAGAATCCTCCCATATTTGGCAGAGATACGAGACTAACTTGTGGGGTCAATGAGAAAGAGAAAATTTATTGCATACCTACTATGTGCCATCAGGCTAGGCGCTTCCATTTGCAATGTTATGTCCTTTGCTTTGATGTCTTTGTAGAAAAAAGCAAGTTAATTCTTTTATTTCCACTCTTGCTGTTGGTAGCTATGTGGTAGTTATGCTGGTTTTTTGAATAGTTAAATAAGAGACATGGTTGGGCCATATTTGTGTGTTTTACCCCTTAAGAAAAATTGGATATATACTCAGAAGTTATTGACTTCATGATTCTCTTATCGTAGAAGCAGAGTCTCTTGAAAGAATCTTAAGCCTTTTGAGAATTTGGCTTTACCAGAAGAGAAGTGGATCTTTCTGCTTGCAGTATTTCCCAGAGAGCTTAATCAGTCGCATGGCTTAATCTGAACATCTACAGGAGTAACTTCATCTAATGGTTTTTATGGCCTTAGGAAGTAAGCCTCAACTACCAGTAAATATCCAAACATGATGCCTTGGTTCAACAGAATACCGCATAGGATCAGTCTCCTCTGACATTCTTATCTCTTAGTATCTGTCAACCAAAATGAAAGGCCTCTGTGTTTTGAGTGAACAGGTATTTCACACCCCTTCCTAAATACTACCAATCTGATGCAAAATAGTCCAAGGGAAAACGACGAGAGTCTAATGGGCACATTTGAAATTACTTTCAGTTTTCATTTAAGTTTCTTTCCATGTTAGGAAAATACTGTCTGGCAAGCTGATATTTTTATTTTTCATGACAGAAGATTATAGAAGACAATGAATTAGAGGCAGATAAACTCTTGGTTAAGACTCTGAGTGTTCGGGACCAGCTGTCTGAATGTTGTCCCCTGGCATTACAGTTTATCTTCCGTGTGACTCATTGATGCATGGCAATTTTTCAAACTTATTTTTCCTCCAGGTCAACTGATGAGACATTCAGCCTGGCTGAAGAAACCTGTAGTTCTAATCCGGCCATAGTTCGGAGGAAGAAAATTGCCATAAGCATCATCTTTGCCCTATGTGAGAAAGAGGAAGCACAAAGGAATTTCCAGGACTTCTTTTTTTCTCATTTCCCCCTGTTTGAATCTCACATGAACAGGCTGAAGAGTGCAATTGAAAAGGTAATAAGAGTATAATCCAGTGTCAGAGAAGCAATTACGGCGCTTTACAGATGGTAGAATCTCTTTGTTTATGTATCAAATCGCTTTCCTAGAGAACTTAAGTCACCTGTGTCAGTGATAGATCCTTAGCATGTTGGTATTAGAGATCAGATACTAGATTGTTTTAGGAAAGGAAATTACTGCTTCCTGAAGACTTCAGTCATTACCACCTTGAATGTTTTGATTATAATATTGTATTTTATTAATAAAGCCCAGTAGATAGTTATAAAGGAGTTTCTTCTGAGAGAGTAATTTGGCTTATTTTCTCTTCAATGAAGGCCATGATCTCCTGTAGGAAGATTGCAGAATCAAGTCTCCGTGTCCAGTTTTATGTCAGCCGTCTGATGGAAGCTCTGGGAGAATTCAGGTAAATTGGCAAAGTTTGGTGAAGCCAACAGGAAATTCATGAGCAGCAGTGGCAGCGGCAGCCATAGGTCTAGGGATACATAGAGACCATGACTTGAAGAATGGGGGAGCTGGCAGTTATTAGTCACTTGAGCAGCTCCTTCAAGGTGGAAACTAAGACCAAATGGAGCAAAAAATTTAAGTCACCCAGCACCAAGTAATCCTCACTACTGCCTGATGGACAGTTCTTGATGTGATTGTTTTTAATAGGGTCAATGGAGAAAACTAATATCCAGGTGTGTCTTATAAGCCTGTTCGTTATTTCATGTCATCCTCACAAAAGCCCTAAAAGTAAGCACTGTTAACCCCATTTTACAGATTTGAAAACTTGAGTTCAAGGATGCTTATCCAAAGCATATATGGAGAGAGTTTGCACGCCAGGGAGATACACATTCCGGTTTGCCTGGACAGTCCTAGTTTATACCCACTGTCCTCTCTTAAGGTCTGGACATTAAATTGTTTAATCACCCTAGTGTGTCTTCATTGTTAGTTTCTAATTGATGGTCTTTGTACTCTGGAGACTGGTTTTCTAGAGTCTTTGCTCCTAATGTCTGGGTGGAAGGGTAATCTGCTTGGGGTGGCAGGTGGGATTCTCTTCCACCGTGCTGAGCCGGGATTGTTGCACCAGTCCTTAGAGCCAATTTCTCAGTGGGGAATGGAATCCCACTCCAGAGCAGTCCTGAGCTAATGAGTCAAACTGTTACTCTGCAGCTGAGGGATAAAAAAATGTTACAGTTCTTAGAAGATTAGAACATTTTTGTGATGCTTAAGGTATATGATGGTGAACTCTATAATCTACTTGGAGCAAAATCCCCAGCTTTTTTTGAACCCATAGGTACATATAAAGTACTGAAGTAACACATTGGTCGTTATCTGGTGATTGTTAAGACCTAAGTTGTATGTTTGAGAAATAGTGTGAAGTTGTGTTTTTTGATGGCAATCTGATGATTAGCAAACCTTCTATAGTTGGTGTGGGCAAAGCTGGATTTGCCTGTTGCTTTGCTGTGCTCAGTCCAGAAGCTGATGTGTGCTTCAGAGTCTGGACACTAGTTTAATGAAAGTATCAATTTTTTCAGAGGTCAAGAATCTGAAAGTACAGAACCAGAAAGCCTCACTTTGTACATAGAGGGGTCTTGTTCTTAAGTCAACAACCTACCCCTCCAGCAGTGGTGACAAATTAGAGCGTTAGCATTTGGAGACTTTAGTTTTAGTAAATGAATCCCAGTTCTATGTGACCGTAACTGATCGTTGCTGCCTAACTCAGCACATGCTCTGGTTTTTTTTTTTGCCAAGGTGGAATTCTGTTGTATCATAGTTCTTTTATGCACACAGCTTGAAAATCAAGTGAGAATATGTCTCATCTATCTTGATTTAGGAAGAGTAGATGTGTTTTAAATTCAGACATACCGGTGGAGATCGTAAGCTAAGTTAGTGTGCTCTTTAGAAAAACACTTGTGAGTCCTGTAGCTTGGAGCAGAGCCCTTGGCACCAGGGCGGGAGACCTGCATTCTCATCCTGACCTTGTCATTCAATATTTGTATGTCTTGCGCAAGTAACGTAATTTCTCTAGGCCTCAGTTTCTTCATTTGTAAAGTGGTAGAATTAGACTAGTCAGTTTCTCTAATACCTTGCAGTTCTAAGAATTTGATTCTGTTAATCCGTATAAAAACTTAGTATATAGTATAATGAAGAAGAGCCATTTATGGTTTTTTTCATCTAAAATGAATAGAGTGCTTTGGTTTATAGAACTAAAGCCCTAACTGGAAAGTGGGAGAGTTGAGTTGCCTCTGGTCACATTTTTAGTATAGCATATAATTTCTTTCTTCCTTTATTTCTTTACTATAAAAATGGGCATAAGTTCTGATGCAAGGTATTGTGAAAATAAATTGTTTTAAAAATGAATTAGGCCCGGTGGCGCAATGGTTAAGTTCACGTGTTCCGCTTCTTGGCGGCCCAGGGTTCGTCGGTTCAGATCCCCGGTGTGGACCTGGCACTGCTTGGCAAAAGCCATGCTGTGGTAGGCATCCCATGCATAAAGTAGAGGACGATGGGCATGGATGTTAGCTCAGGGCCAGTCTTCCTCAGCAAAAAGAGGAGGATTGGCAGTAGTTAGCTCAGGGCTAATCTTCCTCAAAAAAAAAAATGAATGTTTTATATCAAGGCTTGGCATACTTTTTCTGGAAAGGGTCTCTGTCACAGCTACTCAACTTTGCCATTGTGCTAAAGTGGCAACAGATAATTTATAAAGAAATGAGCATGGCCGTGTTCCAATAAAACTTTATTTACAGAAAGTTGGCGGTCAGATTTGGTCTGTGGGTCATAGTTTGCTGACCCCTGTTTTATATACTGCTTGAATCCCTTAAGGCTACATAGATCCAGATTATTGTTTTCTTCTTTATTCCTTTATATAAAGATTATCCAAAATAATATTTGTGACAGTTTTGTGTATCCCTTCTCTTTTCTATAGAGGGACTATCTGGAACTTATACTCTGTTCCAAGGATAGCTGAACCCGTATGGCTTACCATGATGTCCAGCACTTTGGAAAAAACCCAGCTCTGCCAGCGCTTTCTCAAGGAGTTTACACTTCTGATAGAACAGATCAACAAAAACCAGTAAGCTTCAACTTTCTGGAGCCTTGTATGCAAATTCCAGGGCCAGTGTATGTGTGTACATGACATGCCTCTCCCTGTATTGATTCATCTGGTTGTGTTTTCTTCCCTTTCTCCAAGGTTTTTTGCTGCCTTGCTGACTGCAGTGTTAACCTACCACCTGGCCTGGGTACCGACTGTCATGCCTGTTGATCACCCTCCCATTAAAGCCTTCTCAGAGAAACGCACCTCTCAGTCAGTGAACACACTGGCCAAAACACATCCATATAATCCTCTCTGGGCGCAGCTGGGTTAGTACCTAATTTGACTATTTGCAGATTATATGGGATGGAACAGGAAACATGCTAGCATTTTTAGTTGATATTCGCTCTTCAACTGGGTAATTCAGGGGGTGTCATTGGCCAGACAGGGAATAGAAGATTGGCCCACAGATTCTAATTGTAGGACCATCACCTTCCTCTCCTTCCCCATGCCAGCAGCTTTGTTCTACTCTTTTAAAGCAGCGTAGGTAGACTTTGTTGCCCCGTACCAGAGTGACAGTTCACCCTGGAACAGGGTTTCTTAACCTCAGCATTATTGACATTTGGGCCAGATAATTCTCTGTTGGGTGGGTCATTGGGGGAGCTGTCTTGTGCATCATAGGATGTTTAGTGGCGTCACTGGCCTCTTCACTAGCTACCAGTGAAAAACCCCCTCCAAAGTTGTGATGATCAAAAATATCTCCAGAAATTACTGAGTGTCCCCTGGGGGGCAAGACACCCCCTGGCTGAGGACCACTGCACTAGAGGATGGACTGGATAGGAGAAAAATAAGAGAGAAAAGAAAGTAACACACTACAGTTTCACCACCTTTTTAATAGCTTAAGTCAGAAACCTTGCTTCCTAGCTGTTGGTTGGTGGCATTTATTTCCTCAAAGCTTTGTGATTCAACATGGTATAGGAATCTAATGCTTTGGCATAGTTGGTTACAGAGTTTGGGACTTGTGAGACCAATCTTGCGAATTTGGGTTCACGTGGAAGAGAGGTATACTCTGGACCTCTCACTCACCAAACATTTAGAGTGGCTAAGTAGGACTTGCACACTCACTGTCTTCCAGAGCCTGTGCTAGATGCCAGAGATGCGGAGTTGAGTAACATGCTGCTTAACCTCAGGAAGCTGACTGCCTAATGGAGGAGGCAGACTTGTATTCAGATGACTTCAAAACATCCTGATTACTCCTTTGATAGGAGTGTGCAGAAGGATGCAGGGAGGAGACAGTGTAGTGCAGAGGTTAAGAGTGTGGGCACCAGAGCCAGACTGCCTGGATCAAATCCAGGCTCCGTGGGCAAGTGACTTAACCTCTCTGTGCCTTGGTTTCTTTATCTGTAAAATGGGGTGGTAATAGTTCGTGGTTGCTGCGGGAATTAAATTAGTTATATGTAAAGCACCTTTGTTATCCATGCTGCTGATGAAAACGTTAAGATTGGCAGGGCACTGAGAGACAAAGTGAGGGGATCAAGGGAATTTTCAAGGAACACATACTTGAGGAAATGTTAAAATGGCATTTTCTAGAAAAAGAAATGTAGACTGGGGGAAAATGATCTCATCTTAGAAAACAGCATGTTATAATAAGAGTAATGAAAGCTGTCACTATGAACCAAGCACTGTTTTTAGTGTTTTTTACACGTGTTAATTAATTAGATTTTCATTGCGAACCTGTTACTATTGGCCTCGCTTTGCAGATAATAAAGATGTCTTGCCCTTGTGCCCCCGGTCATGAGATGTGTGTAAGAAAGACAATACATGTCTCACAGCTAGGGAAATAATAGGTGCATGTTAAATGAATTAACTAAAGAATTTATAGATGTTAGAAAAGGACTTAATACAACTGATCAGTACTGAGGTCAGGAAAAACTCAGAGCATTCCTAACGCACTCCGTCATACAGTTCTTCCCGGGGAGGACAGAGCATTATTGTTCTTGTTTTGGAACAATAGTCTTAAAAAAAGGTAGTATCATTCAGTGGCAAAGGGAAAGGAGCTGGATATTAAGGAAACATGGCGTTTCATGCTGTTGGGTCACCCATTTAAAAACAATGCTAATTAAGCAGTGTGCATTTAATTAGATAAATGTATTTATAATTAGACATGCTTCTCATTTGAAATTTAGCTAATTGAGAGCCGTTAATTCCCTGTGTTCAGCCTAACAGGGTGAAGTCCCTTCCTGTGGGCTCACAGTCCTTTTTCACAGGAGATCATGTGTTATTTCGAGTCTCTAATCCTGCCCTCCTCCCATCCAGCAGCAGTCTGGCTGTTGACAAGAGTGGTGTGAGGAGGGATGAGGCCCTGGTGCAGAGTCACGTGATAGCTTTGTAAAGCCAAGTGTAAATGATGGCTGAGTTTCCATTTTACAGAACATTGAGGGCCTTCAATAATGTGACTGGGGAGATTCTTATTTCCAATTATTAATATTATTTTCATTAAATATTTACCAAGTCACAGTAAACAGGAAAGTGTACATTGCTGCGAATATACACTGATGCAGAGTAATTTTAATCCAGGTTCCTAAGTAATAGAAAAGATTCCATCTTGAATTATTTCAAAGGCATATCTGAGAGCTTGCCAGGGCAGGTACCACTGCCGTGGCCACTTTGGCCTGGCTTCTCAGCATTCCCAGGGAAAGGAGGAGAGAAGCTAGAAGCAAGAAACCCTTTCACACTCTCACTGGCTTGCTGTTCAGGAGCTTAGCCATCCCTGCCTCTGCCTAACATGCATTCTATACAGTATACAGGAGTTCTCCAAAGTATGGATAACGACTCGTTAGTGGGGAGTGGCAGCAATTTAGTGGGTCAGAAGAGCATTTAAAGGGTACAATAGAGTAGAAAATATCAGAGCGAGACATATATGTTTTGTACAATGTTTGTTTCAGAGGGTGTGTGAGGTTGCAGTGTAAAATGTATGTCTTTCTTGGAATGAGTATATGAAGTTTGAAAGCCACTCTCTCACCACTGGTTGAAGGAGCTCCATGTGGGTCTCTCTTTGACCCTAGTGACCTAAAGGATTTGTGGAAATGAAAAGCAGATTTTCTCAAAAAAGGTTTGAGATCATTGGTTTAGATAATGTAAGCAGAAAAGTCTGAAGTTTCTTCTTTATTTTTTTCTCTATAAGTTTAAATTATATTTCTCAGAATGCAGTGGAATTAGACTACAAATAAATAAAATGATGAAAGGTGAAAATCTCCCCCTGCTCAGAAGTTGAACAGCCACATTTAAATAACCCACAAGCCAAACAATGCTTCACAGGAGAAATTAGAAAATAGTTTGAACTAAATGATAACAAAGGTACAGTAAATTACAATGTGTAGGATTCTGGACGCACTGCTCAAAGGGGAGTTCATAGCATGTCATTTTATTAGAATGTATAATACTCAGTTTCTCTCCTTGTCTCCTTTTTCATTTTCTCTGTTTCTCCCACCATTTCCATGTCCCCCCACCTCTCTCAGCCTTCCTCCTTTTGCCATCCCCTCTTTACATGGCTCCTCAGTCCTCTCAGCTTCTCACCTCAGTCTCTCCCCACTTTTTTTTTTTTTAAGATTGGCAGCTGAGCTAACAACTGTTGCCAATCTTTTTTTTTTTCCTTTCTGCTTTTTCCCCCAAAATTCCCCCAGTACATAGTTGTATATTTTAGTTGTAGGTCCCTCTGGTTGTAGTATGTGGGATACCACCTCACTGTGGCCTGATGAGTGGTGCATGTCCGCACCCAGGATCCGAACCAGAGAAACCCTGGGCCACCGTAGCGGAGCGTGCAAATTTAACCACTCAGCCACAGGGCCGGCCCCTCTCCCCACTTTTCTATTCTCCGCCCTCTCTTTCTATTTTCTGTTTCTGTCTTTTCATTGTTTCCCTTGATATTTTTTCTTTTCCTTTGTGTGTTTTACCCTCTCTGCTTTTCTCATCTCTTCTTCACCCTCTTTTTGCTTCTCTCCGATTCTCTACCATTATACTCCTCATCTCTTTTTCTCTCTCCGTTCCTCTTCCCTCTGATCTTCCCCTCCCCCTTCCACAGTCCCCTTGCTCTGTCCTCTGCTGCCTTGTCTCTCTGGGTCCCTCTGTTTGTCTCCTCTTCCTTATGGTCTCTCCTCTCACCTTGCCCTGCACCCCTTCCTGCTGCCCCATGCCCTCTCTCTCTGTTTCACCTGCACACAATCTTTTTACTCCTTCCTTTTTTTCCTTCTGTCTTTCTCCCATTGTCTCTCTTTTTCTTAAACTTGTTTGTATTTTAAATTGTGGTAAAAAAGCACAGCACATAACATTTATGCTCTTACCCATTTCTAAGTGTACACTTCAGTACTGTTAGTCACATTGTTGTGCAACCTCTTCTTCATTTTGTAAAATTATGCTCATGAAAACAAAGGAATCTACTCTAAAATCAGTGGCTTTGTCAGTCCAGGACTCAAAAAATTGCCTTCAAGATCCAGTAACTCTTTAGTATTACAGGTCTATTATTTTATGAAGTTTGGCCTTAAAAGAAATAGCACTGTTTCCACCCACATTGCTTTCCCTTCTTTATATGGTTTAAATTATTATAAATTTTACTTTTAATAACCTTCCTTTGTTTTACTTTTTTCCCACTTATGCCTTAGTTGTTAAAACATGCAATACCAAAAATTAAATGCATTGCTAAAAAATAATATTGTCATTCTGAGTGGCCTTTCTTCTGTGGTTTTTTTGTACCAGAGTTGGGATATGTCATACTTATCTTCTTTCTTAACATTGGGACTGATTTAACACAAGTGTCCCATGAAGTCCTGAAGTGACTGTGATCTCCTGCAGCAGTGGGCGCTGGAATCACAGGGAAGGGGCCGGAATGGGCTCTTGGTCAGGAAGCTTTTCTCAAGCAGAAGTACTTGTCCTACCATCAGACCACAGTTCTGAGTTATTCTTTTGAATTCTTGGATGATTTCTCAGTCAGTTGCAACAGCCTCAGAGATAAAGCTCTCTTAGCAAGTAACCTAGTCTTTTTATAAGAGGATTGTTTAGTATCGTCTCTGTCCTACCCTTTAAACTTTCTTAGGACCAGTAGCCTTTCACCAGGGAATACTCTCCAGACGAGGGACTTCCTGGTGGTTCCCATAACTTTCTCCAGTCTTAATCTATCCATTTAATTAGTTTTATCTAGTATATGCCCTTATAAATGCCTTCCCTTCTCTGTCTGGATGCATTCCTCAGATGCGTTCTAACTTCCTGAGTTCTTATTTATAATTATTACCATGTATCTCCTCTCCTTTATTTAGTATCTTTTCAAGTTTTGATTTATTCCAACATTCTGATTATTCCCGTGGTGGTTTCTAACTCAGGGTTGGTTAAACAGAGATATACATGAGATAAATCCATGTAAAAACACTTAGCATTGTGCCTGCAGAGTCAGTAAAAGTTGGCTTTTTGTTGTAGTTGTCAATATTATTATCAAAGTGTCAAATGTACAACCTATTAAATGCAGTAATTTTAATAGTTAGGCACTTGACAAATACTTTTGATGAAAAGCTCATACTGCTGGGTTCATTGACACGTTTGCCCTTCTTCCACCTTTAAGCTAAATGTTCATGGTTCATTAGCCGGTTTTTAATCAGCTTTTCAGGATGTAATTTATGGGACATATTTTTTTCCAGTAGAATTATTTTCATGTGAAGTAATAGAAAGAAAATGTTCAGATTTATTATTCATGACTAAGGGGTTTTCTTCTCCTTGATCAAATTGATTCTACTTGGTGCATGTGTGTATATTGGGCGAATTCTGAGCAGGCCATTTCATTAAGTGTTTTGAATTGATTCCCTGTACTTCTGTTCAGACATCCTGAATTTGGATTTCACTCCAACGCCTATTGTCCTGGGATTCTTCTAAGAAAATCTCATCATTCTAGTTTCCAAGATACAGTATTTGACTTGGTCACGTATTCAGGGCTCTGGCCTTAGCCTTCCTTGGGGAGCTGGGAGCTGGCCAGCCCAGTAAGCTTCGTGGAAAGACCTAACAAGCACAGCAGGGTGCTGTGTACACCAGCACTGTACCCATGCACTAAGAGCAGTGGGCCACATCCTGTGCCTGGCCTTCCAGGCACACTTTCCATTGTAGAGGCAAAACCAACACACAGTCATTACTAGGAATTACCTCTTTGCCTCAGTCAGGTGTGTGAGGAAGCCATTCCAGTTTGGGGATAGGTCATTGTTTTTCTCTTGTAAAGGCTGACATGTCCATGACATGCTCACCTGAGACGACTTTGTCTTTGTGTCCCCTTTGCTCTACAGGTGATCTTTATGGAGCTATCGGCTCTCCAGTGAGGCTGACTCGCACTGTGGTGGTGGGGAAGCAGAAGGATTTGGTCCAGCGCATACTTTATGTCCTGACCTACTTTCTCCGTTGCTCTGAGCTGCAAGAGAACCAGCTGACCTGGAGTGGGAATCATGGTGAAGGTGACCAAGTGGTAAACGGGAGCAACATCACGACAGCGCTGGAGAGGGGTGAGGTGGAGGAGTCTGAGTACGTGGTAGTTACGGTGAGAAGTGAACCTGCTCTCCTTCCCCCCATCCTGCCACCCACGACGATGGCCGAGGGCAGGAGCCCCGGGACGGAGGGGTTGGCTGGGGTCCCAGAGGGCGTAGACATTAGAGAGCTGTGTCCCAAACCTGACAAAGAAGGAAACAAGAGTTCTGAGGTCGGCAGCATGGGATACCAAGAGACAGCACTGGACAGCTCTTGGAAACCTCAGGATGCTTCTGTTGGGGATGAAGAAAGTGAAAAAGAGGCACCACGAGATGGCTCTTCAAGATTCTCCAGCTGTGAAGGTTTGGGGGCAGGACTGCAGATTGGCCAACAGACTGTCATTGAGGAGTTGAAAGGGGAGATGCCTAAGAAACTACCAGACCGGTCAGCAGCCTGGCCTTGCCCTGACAGACATTCCCGGGAGAAGCCTCCCTTAGAAAAGGTCACCTTCCAAATTGGAAGCTCCGTGTCTCCAGAGTCTGACTTTGAAAGCCGCACAAAAAAAATGGAGGAACGGCTAAAGGGCTGTAGACAATATCCAGAGTCAGCCAGTTGTCCCTCTGCTGAGCCCAGCGGGGCTGCTCACGTGGCTCAGGACCAGCAGGTTTCTCGGTGCTCCTTCATGCCTGGCTTCCAAAAGAATGTCTGCTGTCCTCAGAATCAATCTTCTGAAGGGGGCGAAAGTGCATGTGACTGGGGTTTTGCTGAGGACAGAGGCATCAGAACCAAGGTCACAGCAGATGCTGCTGGGCTGCTTGACCGATCTGTCCACTTGTTAGCTCCTAATGACAGTGCGGCAGGAGCTGGACAGAGAACGCTGGAGAAAACGAGAGGTTTGTATCTGAAGGTTGCGGAAGGATCTCTGGTAGAGCCTGTTCCGAGCAGGTGTGTCCAGCAGGACTCGGACTTCTCGGTTGAGGCAGATGTCCCCTGTGGGGATGCCGACAGGAAGGCTGACTTCAGGATTGAAGGAGACATTCCCAGAAACGAAAGCTCAGATAGCGCTCTCGGAGACAGCGACGACGAAGCATGTGCTTCAGCCACGCTGGATCTGGGTCACAGCAGTGACCGGCCTGAAGGGTCCTTGGAAGTGGAGCTGCCTCTGCCAAGGTAACACTAGCAGTCTGGGAAGCAGAGGGAACTGGGTTCAAATACTGATCTCCTGACCCGACACCCATGATCACATTAGCTGCTGCTGGCTGTTTTACACATATGGGTTTTTTTCTCATAGTATTAGAAGTGTTATCAAACTGATAAAAACGGTTTCCAGCCTGCCCGTTCTCCATGGATGATCATTGGCTTAGTGCATCTGAGCGAGGATGCAAGTGGTTGCTTTTGTAACCATTGTGACAATTTGGGGAAGCTAAGGGATGTGGTGGAGGTGGTGGTGGGGAGCAGGGAGTTTAATTTTCTGTCATCTGTAGGGAAGTTAAATGAAGCAGATGTGCTGCTTCGGAGGTGGTGGATTACCTCCCCGTGCGGCTTCTCTCCTGCCGCTCGGAGCAGTGTGAAGTGGTCGGGAAACAACACCTCTTCCTTAACACTCCATCAGGTCGATTATTTGGCGTGTGATGACTGAAAGCAGTAATTAGAGATTTCTTCTGTTCTTCTGCACTCTTGTGGGCACCACCCTGTGCAGATGTGTCGAGTTCCTAAAGCCACCCTTTTGGCAAGATCTCCCCATCAGTAGACTCTCCTTCTTCACTCTCTTGACACAGACTGCCTGGTGGATATTCGATATGAGGTACAAGAACAAACTCATAACCAGGCATCAAAATACTGGCGTTTTTTTCCGTTAAAGAAAAAATGCCTTTTTCTCTTCCAACCCCCTTCCTTTTCCCACACCAATGATCCACTTACTGAAGGATTGCTGAAATGGACACCCTGAATCTATTTTTCTTACTTGTTTTTGTTCCACTTGTAACACAAGAAGGAAGTACGTTTTTAATTGTGTATTCTAATGGGTCGATATTGTTTTAGATCTCAGAGCATCAGCAACCCAAATGTAAGAAACTTTGGCCGCTCACTTCTGGCGGGTTATTGCCCCACGTACATGCCTGATCTGGTGCTTCATGGGACCAGCAGTGATGAGAAGCTGAGGCAGTGCCTGCTGGCGGATCTGGTCCACACCGTCCATGTAAGTGATCCCAGCTTGGAGCCTCTGGCTGCTGGCAGTGTGTCAGCCAGCAACAGGTGTTTATACTGAAGCAAGTGTAATTAAGGGATTGTTCAGAGAGATGCAGCCAGGGTTACTGGAACCAACGAGGGCTGGTGAAGGACTGGCTATGAGCAGCAGCCGGAAGCTATGAGCACACCTGGGCCTAAAGGAGTAAAGAAAGGGAGCAGTGCCACCGCAGCTGTGGAGAGCTGGAGCTGGAAGAGGGCCTGCCTGGCTGCAGGAGCACTGAGCAGGGTAGGGGATAACCCCTGACATCTCTCTCCTCCAGCCTCTGAGCTCTTCTGTCACCTCCCATTGGCTAAGCCCCTCTGAAAGCCAGAGAGCAGGGTCATACTGATGCAGACCCAGTCCTCTAGTCCACAGAGGTCAGCCTCCTGAGGCCCGCACAAGACAGAGAAGGGCAAAGAGTGGATCTGGGGGTGAGTGAGGGCAGAGAGGCCAGGCAAATAGAATAAAGAGCACAGATGGTGACAATTATATGCTGTCACGGGGAGGACTGAAGAGATGTCACATATGGTTTGCTTTTTATCTGATCCTTACAAGTTCCTGAAAGTAATTTATTTTAACTGATTTGTCGTTAAGTTCACTGTGATGGCTGCATGAAGATGGCTGCATAAAGATTAACAAGTCTTACTGGAAAATTGCCTTGTGGCTGCCGTTAAGTGCTTTTCTGCTATCCACAGCATGACAGGAACTGAGCAGTTAAGGAAACTGTGTCAATCTGATGGGCCTGTTTTTAATTGAGCTGCTATTGGGCAGATGTGCAAAAATAGATGTTTTGCATTGGAAACATATTGTATCTTGTGCAATAGAGAAAGTCCTCATTGCATTAAGAAAATTAGAATTTGGCTTGTTACCTACCTTGTCACCCAACAAGTATTTTTTGGGAGGTGGAACAGAAGGTACTGCATGTTATCTTTGGCCTTGAGCATCTCCTCTGTGAAGACTAAGCATACGTCAGACACAGGCTAAACAGTCTGAAGATATTTGTGTGAAACGGGAAGAAAAGCTCAGTAGTGAAGCAGTTGTCCTCATAACCCCCCAGAAAGGGGAGGGAGAAGAGATGAGGAGGGGGCGATCTGAAGCTGGGAAGGCCAACCCAGTGTACGCATTTGTACCCAAACATTCCTAACCCTGCCCTGCTTTGTGGTCAGACACCACCCCTCACCGGGATATTCCTGGAATGAAGCTATGAAGTTGCTTTTGTCTCTGTAAGGAATGTCATAATATTTTATTTTCACAGTTGTGATGAACAGTGTGTACTTGCTTATCATTTCAGAGGTCCGTACATCAGTGACCTTAGAATAAGAACAATGCCCTCCTTGTATGGTACTATCTTTCTAGGTTGTCTTAAACCATGTGTGAAACCTCAGTGATTTTAGAGACTCGCGTTTGGTTAGTCGCCATCTGTAGCATTATGGCAGGGAATTAGAGACCCTCCTTTCCTTTTCTGTCAGCGCCTTATGTTTATATCCACATATGCAAAACCGGTGGGGTTTTTCTTTCTGCTCTGCTGTCGGTTTGATTTGTAAGAATGTTGGTGTTGCTTGTTGGACCCTTCTTCCAGGAAGCCCCACGTTCTGCTTCTGACAAAGGTGTCAAGAGATAGCATGTGAACTAACTGGGTTCTCTTCAGTTCCTTTGATCTTACCAACTGGGGGCTGTTGCCCAAATACCCTAGACTTGTTCACTAACCACTATAGAAATGCAATCTGTTGATTGATATCTCTCCTTGAATTTATCTGCAAAACCGTTCATGACATTTTTTATGTTTTCCATAGGCTGACAAGTTGTGTTTTTTATGTGTATTAGGTTTTCATGTTGACCATCTAGCTCTATCATTCTTATATTTGAAAAAACAAAGCTATGTTTCCTCTATTTGTACTCTTAAAGACTTTTCCTGTATCATTTTCCCTGCCTTTCAGAAGTAGTGTTTTCACACTGTAGCTTTTCTCGTTTCTTTAGATTATGCTGTCACCCTGAGAGAGCGAATGTTATTAAGCATAATAACCTATATTGTGTCAAATTGTGGGTACATCCAAAGTGCAGCCATGCATGGGTGTTAATAGGAATTGTGAAGGGTTCATAAAAATATCTTCAGAAGTTTAATGCTTTCAGAATGTATCCAATTAGCATTAGTGGATTTCTAATTTCGCTTGGCACATGCATCATAATGAATTTTGCTTTTGAAGTAGTGTTCCATTTAAACTGCCTCTCAGACTGGGACTCTGGTCTGTGGTAGTTTTTAAATAAAAACAGCCGTACTTTCAACTGCCATTTACAAATATTTGTTGAAAAATAAATTAGAAAGGTTTTTTTGAGCATTGTATGGAATTTACTGCTCCATAAAGCCTAGTAATTATTTAAATTCTTAAGTATGTTGCCAAAGAGAGAAGCAAGGATCCAAGAATAAGTACCTGACCAGAGTAAGAGCTGAAATAATAGCTTGTTGAGGAACAGAAGGTTGGGATCAATTGCTTGATCATAACTTGCTTTCAAAAGCCTGTTTTTGGATGTTAATAATTCTTAGTGTGCATGCTAGACTTCATCAGGCTTTGATATTTATAATTGTTTTTGGAGAAGAATTTTTAATAACAGTTTAAAAGCAGTTGATTTAAGTTATTGATCTATTTTCTAGACATATGCATGATGGCATTGTAAAATCTGTGATAGGTAAATGTGCACTTTTATAACCTTCGTGGACTAGTCTGCGGAGTTTTTTCCTCACTGAGAGATTGCATTCTAGAGCTTCCAATACTAAGAGTTTCTTTTTGTACATTTCCTTATTCTAGTCTCTTAGGAAAGAAAGATATATTAACTTCATTGCATTTATTTTCATTTTTATTACTGGCTTTCCCATATTAAGATTTTGATAGTCTTTAAATATTTAAACACATGTTCTTGTTTAATCCATATAGTACCTCTTTTCTGTCATTTGAACTGTTTTTCTGCCTCCTAACATATAGATTATACAGCTGCCTTAAATTAGGCTAAAGTAATATTTAGTTTCATTTTTTTTCCTGCCACATCTAAATGTGCTTTCTGTCCTCTGTTTTCCTTTTGACTTTAAATGGTAAAGTGGGAGAGAATGAGAGAGCCAGCTTCCTTCTCTACTTGCGACCCTCAAGTAGCTTTTTCTCTCTTCTTTTTTCCTCCCGTATGCTTGTCTGCCTGTGAATACTCCTGTCCAGGGCAGTGTTAGGGGTATTAAATTATGGGGCAGTGGAGGGTGGTGGAGGAGCACTGACTTGACACTGAAGGCTTGGGTTCAAGTCTTAGAATTTCCACTCATTCGCTGGTAGTCAAGTACATCAATTGGCATCACTAAGCCTCAGAAAAATGTATGTAGAAGAACAGATGAAATATAACCCAGTGGTTAAGAGTTTGGTTTCTAAAGACAGACAGACCTGAATTTGAATCATGGCTCACCCTTTAGTGACTTTGTGACCTTGGGCAAGTTTCTTTAATTTTCTAAGCATCAGTTTCATCTTCTATAAAATGAACAATACATATAGGTCTGGCTTGAAGACTGAGATAATACATATCAAATGTTTAACACAGTGCTTTGGCACATTACTAAATGCCCAATAAATGTTAGCTAATAAAATAATACATGTGAAAGTGCTTTGTAAAAAGTTTCCCACAAAATTCCTGTTGGAGATGATGGGTCAGAAGCCATCCACACATTCGTTCTGTGCTAAAAGCGTCCACTTTCCCTTTGCCTCTGATATCACAAGGAGCAGGCCATGCTGCTCTAACTCTTCAGGATAGGGTCATCAAGACCAAAATTAACATCACATTTTGATGTTTTTTTAAAAACTGTGTTCCAGGGCCTCAGACATTTTACAGAATAATCTATAAAACTAACAGTTGGCTGTAGCAGCCTCTTTCATTTAATTTTAAGAGTAGCAACAGATTGACTCCAGAAATATCATGCGGAAATCAGTAGCACAGATAAGGAGCTTTGCTAAAAGCTTGGCTGCGATATACGCTCATGAATACCTAATTAAGCCGTGCAGTGTAATCAACCAGGAAGACTACAAAAGAACAGCAAGTCACAGCAAATGATAAATCATTACTTAAGTAACACAGACAGCATTAAGTGCCTCAAGTCAACAACAACCTTAAGATCAATAGTATTGTGAGGTAAATATCTATGTAGGGCAGATCTGCTATTTTAGAACACCTCTTGGTGCTTTCACTTCCCTCTGTTGGATAATGAGCATGACAATTCTTTGAGCCTATAGCACTGTCTTACTCTTTAGTGAAATATTTGTTGGGGGGGTGTATATACATACATGTATACACACATGTTTTTATGGGCACACATGTATAAGCATGTACACTGAGTAAACTCCCCCTTAACTGTCCCAACGAGTATCCCTCTGTCCGATTTTCCCCTTCCAGTCATCTTGCACAGTGCCACAAAAGAGCTCTTTCTGAAACATGAATATGATCATCTACTCTTCTGCTCTAATATTTTCCCATTTTTTCCAAAGTAAAATATAAACTCCTTGGCTGGAATTGTCCCTTTTATGTCCTTTAAATGCACACACACACAGCCCACGTCTCCTTTTCTGCCCTGGTCACACTGTTTGCCATTCTTTAATGGGCCGCCTTTCTCTCACCCTTTTACCTGTGTGCAGTTGCGTCCTTCGCCTGAGGCTCTTTCGTTCATCTTTGAAGACCCAGTTCAAATGTTGCTTCTTGTTTGCAAACATCCCAGCACCCTCAGGTAGAACTCAACTGTTCTCACCTCTAGGCTCCTTAGCACGTCGCACCGGACCTTTTTTCTGTTTCCAACGTCTTTCTCCCACTAGGGCTGCAGGCGCCTGGAAGCAGAGAAGAGGACTTGGCTCCTTTCATGTCTCCGCACCTCGCTGGGTGCCTGTCAGAGAAAGTGCACAGGGATGTTAGTCAACTGTTCCCCGTAGAACTGGGTTTAGGATGTGTGTTTG